AGCAGGAATTCTGGCTGAGACGGGCATAGGTACAACAGAGCTACCCACCTAAGAGGGCTGTCAGGGCAGCGTAGCTGTGGTAGGCAGCAAGTTGCTGCAGCAAGGACATAGGGTCCCAGGCAGGCTTGTAGTACATAGGTTACTGTGACTTTATCACTCTGTGCCCTATCCGGATAGATAATGGCGAGCCTGAGACTGCGTACAGTGATAAACTTCCTGCTTGCAGTGGGGCAGACATTGAATAAGGTGAAGGCGTGTTTGGACTCACATCTGGATGAAGACACTGTTTGGAGAGTGTGGCCTTAGTATGCTGTGTTGGAAAGAGGTGGCAATGGCATATTGCTGTTGAAGGTTATTTCTGCTGGTCTTGCCTTCCTGCATGGACTGTCCCGATCAGGGAATATGCATGCTCTCTTTCTCTCCACCTGTGCAGGAAGGACCATCTGAGCTCCCCTCCAGTACCGTATGAAGAGCTGCAGAAGCTGCTGGAGGCAGTGCTGAAGCAATGTGCTGACCTTTCCCCGCCACAGAGTACCAAGAGACATGCAGTAAGTCAAGAGTGACTGTTGCCCCTTGGTAAGACCAAGCAGGGCAGGAATGACCCTCTTAGCACAGCATGTGGATGTTGTATATACATTTCATACCCTTTACCTGTGACTGTTGGGGTCTCTGGTGTTTCTTTTTGATCCTCATGCCTTGAGATGGCAGCAACCTTTGTCTCTGAGGTAGCTGAAGATGGATGCTGGTGAATCCTCTTTCTAAATCAGTGAAGATACCTGGGGTACCACTTGAGTGTGCTGCTCCCTTTTATGTGTCCAGCGTTCCAAGGTCATTTGAACCTCCCCTTCTTCAGGGCCCCACCTTCTAGGTTGCCTTATTCAACCTTTTTTTTTTTTTTTGGCAAAGATCATGCCTTGCTGTGCCTTCAGATCAAGAGGGTCAACTTGAATACACCGAGATGCCTCCATAAGGGAATTATTAGCCGCTATTTGAACTGCAAATCCTTTCCTGTTCCTGAAACATGCAGTTAGTGTAATGTGCTGCTGGGAGCTGCGGACCCTTGGGGAGAGCCCTCGTTTCAGATGGCTGTATGAAAAGACAAGGGCTAGGCTCCATTGCTGTGGACTTAGGAGCGTATGGGCTTAAATCACCGATATGTATGTAGTGGCAAAAACATCTTGCTGAAGTACCAGGGACCCAAATGTCTGCTGAACTGTCTCTAGATCTGTGGCCCAAGTGGTGTGATACCTGATTTCTGTCTTCTCTGCCTGGAGGTAACGGGATTTCTTCCCACCCATTGGATAGACATTGGTCAGTCTGTTGCAGACACAGAGCTGGTGTCCTATTCAGAATAAGGGGTCTTATAGGAAGAAAAATAGGCAGAGGGTAAGGACATCCAGGCAGTCTGTAATGGAAGAAAAGGGGAAATGATTACACCTCTGATAAGGTGTCTCAGCATCAAATGGGTAAGAAATGTATAGAGCAGAAATTTTGAACTGCCAGCCATACAATTGGCTTGATATAACTGGATTGCTGTGCCCTTCTGGATGAACTTGGTGAGACGCTGCGTGGGAGCAACGGCTGGCACATGGATGGTTGCTTACAGATGTAAGCCTAAGGAGGGAAGTAGGGGACTTCCAAGATTTAAGTGCTGAGCAGGAAGAAGAATTGTTCAGCCTTGTCCAAAGAGTAATTGGAGGAAAATGGATTTAAAAAAAATACTAAGTTTTCCCAGAAGGATATGAAGCCCCATTAGCTGAGCTGTTTAAAACACAGACCGAAACATGGCAATAGAGACTGTACTATACTATTCAAGGGACGAGGCAATGCAGAACTAGTAGTTCTCTAACTCTGCGTTCCCTTGGGAAAGCACAGTAGCCCTTTAACTCTGCCCTTCCTAGGAAAGCACAATAGTGAAGACACAGCTATGTGAAGGAAGTGAAATATTTTTTTCTTCCTGCTGCTGATATTGGAGAAGAAAGCTATTTTGTTTCACAATGAATACAAGATTTTGAAGACTTCTCTCCTTTAACAGGGTGACCTCCTATTCTCAGTGTCTCAGAGCCACCCAGGAAACAGAAATCTTAGCAGAGTTCCTCAGAGACAGGGACAGTTCTTGCTCAACACCCTGGAAAGTTTCAGAAATGCTTGTAGGTGAGGACTAGCAGAGGGGGCTGTGCGTGTTTGTGTGTGTATTTGTGGGTGTGAGTGTCCTGATACATCAAGACTGAGTTTCTCTACCCAGTCCCACCACTGAAGTATCAAAGGTGAGTTTAGTGTATGGCACTTGTCAGTGAAGCTCCAGAAAGAGGGATATGAAGCACTGATGATGGTGAAAATGTTGTGGTACCTGCAGGTGCCTCCCAAGAACCTTGACAGAGACCTATCAGTTTATTTTATCTCTTTGGCCTTTGAAGAACTGCTTGAAAATAAGATTAAAAAGAAACTGGAGAGTATCATTATCGAAATCCGGTAATGATGTAAGAACTAATGGAAGTTATAGTTACATGCAACCATATTCTATTTCTTGTGCCCTGGGCTATGCAGTCTCACTGCTTGAGAGGATTAACCATTTAACAAATATGTATCTGGTCCAGCTGCTGGCCTTGTATTTGCTTATATCTGCATCATGTTACTGCACGTGGGTTTATAGGCACCAGCTTTTCCTGTTTTGCTGGATGGGAGCTATCCCTTAGTTGGCCAGGAGAAGATGGAAGATGGATTTGCATATGAAATCAGATCTGCCGCTAGGGAAGTTTTTCCAACTTAGTTATTTTGCCTTGCATCACTTGCACTTGGCTTGGCTGGGATAATACAGTCAGAAGCCAGTGTCCCTGGCTGCACTGATCCAGTGTCTTGGGGTGGTGTTAGAGGGCACTGGGCTTCTGTCAAGGTTTTTAGATTAGCTGAATGGTTCACTGGCTTTTTTCTGTGGGGTTTGCTGTATTGTGCTCTAGCCACTCTGGCCTGGCTGAGTACATTTAGTCTTGCCACACTGAGGCCTCCCACAGAAGATATTTCCTTCAGAGAAGCTAAGTCTTCCTTTTCCGAGTTGTGGTATAGTTGTAGAACGTTGCTAACTTTTAATAGCTTCGCTCAAGAGGTAACTGTGTTACTGCCAAATGGGTTTCCAACCCATCCTGTGTTCCTGGGGTCCCTAATGGTGAAAGTTGTGATGGAAATGTAGTATCTCCCAGCTTCTTTTACAGAGTGGGGAGCGTTCCTCTCTCCTCCAGTGTCTTCCGTATGTTTGTAGGTTGGCAGTGGAGTTCCAGAGTGACCCGATGGCCCAGGAGAATGCTTTCACTGCCCCCAGCTCCGAGAGCAGGGACACTCTAAGCAACTTCTCTGAGTTCCTGTTGAGGATTTGTGACAACCTCTGCATCCCCATGGTCATGGTAGAGTTTCTTTTGAACTTGGTCTGTTTGTTGGGTGCCTGGATAGATGTTCTCAAGCGTGGGGGGTGGGGAGGGGAAATCATTTTGGGGAGAGAGTGTGTGGGATAAACCAAGTACAGCTGTGGCATTTGCTTCCTCTCCGGGGATAAATGTAACATGATATTCATGCAAAATGGGAGTGTATAGTCTCAGAGGGTGGAGAAATTCATAAAGCTTCCATATGGATTGCAATGTCTTTCTTCAGGCTGTGCAATCCCAATAGCATAGCTGCCATGTTCCCTAATCCATGGCAGCTCTGGCTGTTGCAGAAAATTAAGAATGCATGAGCTGTTGTTTCCAGAAGGTATTGGTGAGCCTACCCAGCAAGGACAGTACAAGGCCATGTGGCTCAGTAAGGCCATACAGTTTAAAAAGTAGCAGTGGAGAGTCACTTGTGCTTTAATGTTCCATACCAACCTGTCAGTAAGACACTTAGAGCAGGATTATCCAAATGGAGGGACTCTAAGGTAGTCCTACATGTCGAGTAAATTTTGCTTGCACTTTGCCGCAGTTTCAGGTATATGATTTCTTGCAGTTGCTGGGGGCTTTGGAGATTTTTTTGTTTTGTATTTTTAACACTGTCTTGGTAGGCATCTGTACTAGCATGCTGTTCTCAGCCTTGAAAGCAGAGCGCAATTCATGTCCAGTTTGGCAAAGCTAGAGTCAGTGAGCTGCTTCCTGTTCCTTGGACTTAGGTAAAAATTAATGAACAGTGGTAAAATTGCCCCATGGCCTTCTGTAAGAGTGAGTTGAGTTGCTCTGTTCTAAACCATTTAGGGCTAGACCCTATGGAGAACTTAAATGCCTGTGTTTGCTACTACTCAGCAAAATGCTGAAGCCCAGGTGTTAAGTGGTATTGAAGTCAGCTGTACTTAAGCGTATGTCCTATGTTGTATGCTGTGCTGCAGAATTAGCCATTTGACTTGTAATAGCGGTTATGTGTAGAGTAACATGGACAGTAACGTTAGTTGTTATGTCAGGGTGTAACTGGTTGCCAGCTGGAATCAGGAAGGATTTTCCTGTCTGATGTAATGTCTTGCGGAGTTAGCAGCATCACTCATAAACGTTGGATGGGAGAGTGTTAGTTGCTTTCAGCATGCTCCGTAAGCCTGTGTACTTGCTGCCAGGCGTTTTGGTAGAAGGGCTGTTAGTGCCGTTTATCTGGATTTGGAAATCTAATATTCTGGGACAGTGGGAAGCAGGGAGAAAGCTACTGCTTTTTGTATATGTTACATTTCACACATCTGATCTTTTCTTCATTCTTTCCACAGAGCTACCTGGAAAGGGCTGTCAGCCCATCAGTGATGGAGGTTTTCGTATCAACCCTTAATACCCTGTTTACAGTGATGCCGAACATGAGAGAGAAGTTCTCCAAAAAGCTGGGTATGGGAGTAGTGTAGGATCATGTGGTCTGTGCTGCTTTGCTTAACAGATAGAACTTGCTGCTACTGCATATTATTGAGGCAATGAGCTTAACGAAACTTTCAGCGGAGGATTACATTGCATGTTTATGTGGGTAAGAACAGAGTACGCAGTCACGTTCAGTAAGATGAAAAAGTTATTGGGTCTAGGAATGGTGATAGGACAGATTTTATTTTAGATAAGTAAATTGTGTCAGCTTTATCCTTTCCTCTGGAATGTTCAGAACTGGCTATCTCTGTAGACAGGGATTATGCTGGAATTGTTGGTTGGCTTTTATTATACGGAAATCCTATTTACTCAGTGTCTTCCTTACTCTTTGCAGATCACAGAGTGATGTATAGAATTCCTCTTTTCTAAACCTGTAGAGCAGATAAATCTTCCCTTCTCCTCCTGGGAAGGCAAACAAATCTCAGATACTCTCCTCCAAAACCGTATCAGAGTAGTATGCCTCAGGAATATCAGGGAGAGAAAGTGCATTCTTACTGGGAAGGCCTGCCTTGTTCAACAGTTTTGTATGCAGATATGTGGGGATGATTATGGGACCTGCATACTCTTCTCCCTCATCAGACACACTCTGTGCTCTTTTGACATTTCTGTCATGCTTTCTCTCCAGCATCCTCCTCCTTCATCCGACTGACACTAGAGCTGAAGGCCAGATTTTGCTCTGTACAAAGGTATTGTGATGTGTGTATTGAAAGTGAGTCAACAATTTCCGTATGGGAAAGCAGATCACACCTTATCTAATGTACCTTAATGTACCTTATCTAATGTATTAGGCAAGAATGGACTCCAAAAGACTCAAGAGTGGTATCTTATTGCAAAAGTAAACAGTAACTGACAATGGAAAAGCTATGAGAAAGGGGAAAAGCAGTTAGGTAGAGGAAGGGTGAATTTGTGCAGCTTTATGAGAATTCTGTGTGCCGATGTAAGCTGTGCAGATACGGATACAGCAGCCCAAATTTGGAGTAGTGAAATCAGGGGGTGCTTTGGAAAGAATTGCAGTAGCATCAGTTCTATTTGAGCTCTGACTTCCTAGGCACATATTACCACCACTTATGTTCCTCTTGGTGTGATAATGTATAAGAAATAGGAGGGATAAGGAAGACTTTAACAGGATATATTGCAAAGGGTCATCTCTAGCAGAAGTTATGATTTCTCAGTTGAGGAGCACTGGGGGAGCCTCTCTGTGGGCCTGCAGAGATGTTTTCCATCTTCTTCCCCGTGACTGCAACTCGTTAAAAGAGTAGACAAAAGCTAAGGTTCCCCTAGTCCAAATCGCCGTTGTGGGAGCTAGAGTGGGGATGTTTGTGCCTGTGAGTGGTGTGTGTGGGGAGTGGTTAGGCCTATGAATACAGTAGCACATGGTGCCAAGGATGTTATGTTACAGTGCAAAGATGTTTGGTTATGTCCTATTCCACAAGGAAATCATTAGAGAGTGGGAAATGCCTGCAAACATAGCTGTTCTCAGCCTTTTACATAATTTTTTGTCATTGCTAATTGTTCATCCCTGGAAACGCCATTGCCCCAAAATCTCCTTACTGGAGTTTGTCAGTGGTGTCAGGTATTGGGAACCCCCCTTCATACACCTCTCTTCCTCTGCGATGTTAGGGGTCCTACCCTTGCAGGATTTACTGAGAATACAGGGTGTGATGATTGTGAGAGTACCCCGCTGTATTGGCGTTGTCCCAGGGTATACATGCATGTTCACTGTCATCACTGCTCCTGTGTCTGCCACACCTGTCTTTTGACAGAGCAGGTATTTGTATGTGATCATTCAGTAAGCTGAAGTTTTGGCAGATGCTGTATGATATTAGGAGTGTGGAGAGGATGGTTCTAGCCTTCTCCATTGTATGTTTCTGGTGTTCTTCACAGTAATCCTGTCTTGAATCAAGCATGTTCCAGCTTCCTCTACAACTTGTGCCTGAGCCTCTACTCTGCCATGGAGAAGGAGAGAGATTCTTCTCAAGAGGGCAAGTCTGGGGAAGGAGACAACTTGCTCCATTTAGGTTGCGGTCCTGCCAGTCTCTATTTAGGCAGTAGGCAAAAAAAAAAAAAAAAGGGGGGGGAAGGGGGAGACGCACATAATCTCTATTTTGAGATTTTTTTCAGCTTTTTTTTAGGCTGGTCTGCTGAGGAGATGACAGTCAGAGAATGCCTCTTGAAGAGTTTGAAACCCTAACTGAATGAATGTAGTTCATTTACCTATGGGTTTGCTTATCCAGTGACATTCATCAGCACAACTGTGGGTGGTTTAATTAAAACAATATTACTTGCCAAGGCGTCACCCTTATCTGGGGATTAAGGTCATTTTTTTTCCCTCTGGTTTACTTTATGAAGCTTTCCTGTCTATACTATAACTTTCCATTGTAGGTAAGTCCCAAATAAATGAGATGAAATTTTCCACATCACAAAAGCCACTGTTCCCACTGGCACTGGTTGGATGCCATACTGGCAGTATCAGCAAAGAGCTGAGAACCTCAAAGCAAAAGTCTCTTTTTCATCCTCAAGGCCAGCTCCTTTAGATCAGGTCTCAGGCCTCTCTTCATGCCAAATCACAGAGGTGCACTTGCTGTTTCATGTACTGTGTGCAGACTGTGGGGGTAATCAGTGGGCTTTGATATTTCTCAAATCAGGAGCTTCCCTAATTTAATATGCTTGAGTTTAGGGCAGGCAGATCCCCCCATACTTCTCTGCCATAGCATAAACGCTCCTCATCCCTACCTGTCCTGCTCATACTGATTGTATTTCCAGAGCAAGAGATGTCTGAGCTCCTGCAGAAGGGCCTGCCTCAGTTAAACTACACAGTTCCTGAAGGCCTTCTCCTCCTGACTGAAAACCCTGAACCGTTCTCTTTGGATCAGTCTCTTTGCAGCCATCAGCACTGCTTCATACTCCTCTTATACTTTGCCTACACCACTGGGGACAGGTGAGCCAAGAGTATACAAGGCAAGTGGTTATGGCTTATTGTGGTCATCACGAACCAATTTTCAGTGGCTTGCCTGATTTTCCTGTTTCATCTCCAATCTCCTTGACTGCAGGTTTGTCCCAGAGGCAGAATTATTTTTAGCCATAAAAAATTTCCTTCTGTCAGCACAGGACCATGGAGACTGTCCCCCTCCATACATATTCAGAGCTGTGCTTTACCTCCTTGCTGTCTGCCAGGACAAAGGCAAAGACCTGGACTTGGTAAAAGAAGATTTCATTCCTACATCTTGGACCTTTTCTGTGGAGTTTAACTAAGGTTCCTCCCCACCCCCATCAACCCTCTTGCAGAACGTATTTTGATGTATGTGATGAGTGATGAATGAGTGGAAAGTGTGCAGTGCATCTCCGCCCTGGAAAGTTAACTGTGAAAAGTCACTAGGGGATATAGATTTGATTGAATAAACTTGCGTATGTGTGGGAAGTGTAAATGCATTGGATAGGCTGTGAATTCGCATACAGAATATTATAAATTTCATAGCTTCAGTCTCCTGAACACATCCCCAGCCTCTGCAGCTTGCTTTCTAGTGTTCCCATATGGCTTTTTACTGCTGCACAGCTTTGAGCACTGTATAAAGCCTACAAGTTTCTTAGCCTTTGTGATGCAAATGGGCCTCACGAAGTGATGTTTAACTGATCCATTTGATTGTCTACTCGGAAGGCAGTGTGACTCTTTCTCACAGTAGAGTCTCATCACTTCAGCTTTTGGATATTCACTATCTAGTTGTTATTTTATTCTCTCTCTCCCCTTCCTTCCCACACTCTTATCAGAGGTCATTGTGTGCCATAAAGAGGATCCTGGACAATCTCCCAGATGTGAGCTTGGTCTACGTTCACTGTCCTCTTCTGCTGAATTTTTTCCTACGCTACCCTGAACTTATGAGCAGATTTGGACACCAGGTCCTCCAACTCTGGTTTTCCTGGGAAGACTGCAATCAAACTGAGACTGAAGAAGCTGGTTTTGGCATGTCTGATCAACTGACCAGTGTTAACCCTTTACTTCCCATTCTGAAGAGCAATTCAAGCATTTTACTTATTTTACTGGTATGTGACTCTCACAAGGACAGTCTATTATCTCTGGCCCTGATTTAGGGGAGCACTTAGGGCTTTTTGGTTCTTAAAGCACTTAGTGTTTTTTTGAGCCCAAGGAACTGTGTGTATACACAGGCTTCCGCCTCCCAGGCAATCCTGATACAGAAAATGGGACTGTGTGTATGTGTTAGCTCTTCTGCTGCCATCCATCCACTGTGATAGAATGAGGTCTTTGGAAGGCTGGCTAGGAAGGGATCTGAAGGGTGCTGCTGATATATGCCATGAAAAAAATTCATGGGCTCTACCCTTTCTGTATCCAGATATACAGCTGGGTACTCTAGGTCCTTCTGTGGCAGTCTTTCAAGAAGCTATTTCGCTATTTTGGGAGCAGTGGTGTACTATTGATAGATGAGAAGGATGTGAGAAACAAAGAACTTTCAAAAAGCAGCATGCAGAGAACAGGACCTGAGGGCACGGCTTTCTGTTTACTTGGGGTTTGTACTTTGTTTGTGCTGAACTGGAGAGTCTTGTCAGAGATTTTTGCAGCACTGAATTTTCAGGACTGCAAATAGCATGTTGTATTGCTCTTAAAAGATTAAAAAAAAAAATTGAGAGAACTAATCAGTGCAGGGGAGAAAGGGGCCTTGCAGTAGCTGGACTTATGTTTTGGTCATTAGCTGGTGAAGTGAACTCTCTTAACCTATGTAATCGTGACAGAATTGAGGTCCCGATGGCTGCTCAGAGGGCTTCTCTCACTTCCACCTCTCCCACCTAATCCGTCACCATTCCCCATCAGTGGCTAACTTGTCCCATGACTGTTTAGCCAGTCAGAAGAAATACTTATTAACATTTCCACACAAAAACGTGAAATCTGCCTGTAAGGGCAAAAGCTAAGAGCTGTGATGTTTCTTTTCCAGTCTGTTATTGAAACTAAAAATACGTATCATTGAGAATAAAAACTCATGCCAGTAAACACAGAAGAAGCAGAAGGGTTTGGTTCTCAGTGAACACCCATGAGGCATTACACACTGGCATATATTTGTTCTGATCTAAGAGGCTGTGAAATAATTTTTAATATCCCAGGATACTGAAATGACTGACAGGATGGCTGTTGCTTAGGACAGTTCTTTACAATTCCCTTCTCTAACACACAGGTTTGGGTACTACTGCAGAACAGGTAACAACATTCAGGCATTTGATACTGCTTCCTGACTATTAGTAAAAGCAATCAATGCATTGACAAATCAGTGCAGATTAGAAGTGTCCTATGACACCTGTCTACTCTGTTACCTTTGGCAATAGTTTTGGAACCTATCACTCCACAAGCTGAAGTTGACATGTATATCACAGATTTATGAATCAGCAAAAAAGAAATGATGGCTCTCCCTCTGAATGGTACAGCATTCCT